GCCGACCCTGTGCTTAACAGGCGGCTACCCTCCTTTTACTTAGCACCTACGTTCACCAAGAACTAACCAAGGCCACAGGCCGAATGATCAGACCAGGCGAAAAGCCAACTGATCAGATCTTCAAAACTAATACGACCTGTCCCAACATCATAGCAGGCGTCCGGCGGCATCCCTCCGGATGAAATTCGTCGCAGAGAGAAGCTCCCTTTTGGATGGAACATTGCTCTATAAACTAATTACACGGCACCTATACGACTGTCCCCAAGGGCAACCACGTAGCCGTTTTTGAGACAAGGATAACTGTATCACTAACCAAACCAGTGGTAGCAGTTGACATCTGAGTCAGATGACCGCCTGTATTACTTGGGATAAATGCAGGGGGTATCTCTTGAGTTAATAGCCAACAAACATTGGCGAATCAAGGGGTCTAGCCGGCCTCCGCCGCCTGGTACCTCTACTACTCAAGCAGGAGTGACGGCGACTGAGTAACACCAAAGTTAACTCATAGTCACTCTCTCAAACTTAGTATGGAGCCTAAAAGGTATGAGTCGTCCGCCTGTTTTTAGCAAACAGGGGCACTCAAACCCCTATTCCTACTAGGTAACCTCTTGAGTTAATAGCCAACAAACATTGGCGAATCAAGGGGATCAGCCGGCCTCCGCCGTCTGGTACCTCTACTACTCAATCTAGAGTGTGACGGAGACTAAGTAACTCCTATGTTAACTTATGGTCACTCCCTCAAACTTAGTATGGAGCCTAAAAGGTATGAGTTGTCCCCCTGTTTTTAGCAAACAGGGGCTCTCAACCACTACTCCTGCTAGGTTAACCAATTATGAGTTAAAAGCCAACAAACATTGGCGAATAAAGGGAAACAACCGGTACCCGCCGCTTGATACCTCTACTACTCAGTTCCTTGGCAACTAGGTAACAATCATGTTTACTTGGTCAGACAACTTTCCTACTTGGTTAAATTTACAAATGACAGGACCGACTGCCTAGAGGGGATTCAGTCTTTAAAATAGTTTGAATACCGATTGGCTAAATGGCCGACTGATCGTCTAGCCTTGAAACAGACAACCAGTCGTCCAGGGGCATAGGCGGCGTGACTAACTATCCGTACCTGTCTGCAACTATCGGCCATGTAAAACAGTCGGTATAGTGAACAATTGGATATCAGAATATTCAATACTTATACTTAGACAAATTTGAAGCAAAACAAAAAATTCATTAAAAAGAAGCCGGTCATTAAAGACCGGCAAAATATTCAGAGCCCCGGCCCCCTAGCCGGGTAAGTACAAAACAAACGGCACGCAGGCCGTGGAAAGAATACATAAAGCTTAAGAAGGGGGCAAATCTTCAATATTAGCAGCTGCCGCCTGGTCAGCACTCTTCTTGCTAGACTCGGCTTCAGCTGCATTCTTCTTTGATGCATTACCCCCAAGCGGCACAAGCGCCACTACCGGCTCCTCCTCCTCCAACGCTTCCTCCAACGCCTCTTCCTCAGCAGCCGCCAGGATCTCTTGATTATATGTATCAGAACACTGGCGGTACGTTTTTTCCCATGAGGCAAAGTCGGCATTGGGGAAGAGGCGGCCCCAAGTCATGCGCTGGATTTGAGCAGAGTCTTCCATCATCTCCCGGACCAACTCTTTCTTCTCTTGCTCGGCCTTTTCCGAGAGCTCTTGAGTAAGACTCTTCTCCTGGGTCACCAGGCGTTCCTTTACGTTGGCCAATGATTTCTCCAAGGCTTCGTATGAGTACATCTTTAGGCGAAGAGGTTTCAGCTCGGCCTTGAGATTGGTGATGGTCGCCTCCAGCTCGCCATTCCTCTTCTGGGCCGCCTCTAACTGAGCCCGAATAGCGGCGGTAGCCTGCGCCTGATAATAAAGAATATCAATGGTCAGAACTTCATTTTGGGCAATTTGAAACATTGCCTTATCACAGTCAGAGGCGGCCATAGCTTTTGCAGCCATTACCTCTTTGTTCTTCCGGTCAAGCGGCTTGCGAAGGCCGTTCACTCGGAGCAGGGCCTAAGTAAAAAGGAACAGGCGTCAGTTTCCAAACAAAAAGAAAACAGGCGACCTGGAATTCAAATACTCAAAAAAATGCTAAGTATACCTCAGCAAGGACCCCTGCAATCCCGTCTAGGTCAAGGGTGCCGACACCCCTGACCGCCTCCCTTTCAGCTGGAGGAACGACCCTGATCATAGACTTGGCCACCTCTACCAAGTCAGGCTCCTGAGGGCCGGCTGCATCAAGCATAAACAAACGGATTAGACCTAGTAAAAAAGGGAGCAAGTCTAAAATTTACTAGGACAACTTCATACTTCTAGGCGGCCCAGCTGGAGTTTTAGAAGAAGTGGCCGGATGTTTCTCAGCCGCCGCATGTTTCCTGGCAGAACCAGGAGAGCTCGCAACAGTCGTCCTCCGGGCCTTGGGATCCGGCTGTTGGGAAGAAGAAGCTCTTGGAGCGCCCGTCTAAAAAAGAAGAAAAAAAAAAGTCAGTATATGCATAAACACAACTCCAAAAAGAGGGTGAAAGGTTCGAAGCCCACCAAGGGTGCCCCCTTGTTGGGGGAGTCGGTTGAAGCTTGTTGCATGATGGAGGCCCGCAACATGGCCGCCGCAGTCTTGGAGGCGGTAATCTTGCTCATAGCGTCCGCTGCAAAAACAAACAGCAAAGTTAATAAAAGTTATAACAAAAATGCACGGAACAGCAGAGTATTCGACAGGTCGACTACCTCTTGAGGACCGACTGCTGAGGCCACAGGCGGCCAAAAAATACTCGTCGTAGAGCCATTTGAAGCTCGGGACGCAGTGCAGGGGTACTTGCTCTCGTACCCCTGAAGTAGAGTCGACCCTCGACTCTACTTTAAAGAGTCCTTTATCCAGGATCTCTTTCTTAGCCTTGGGGGGAACAGGCGGCATGCTCCGGCCGCCTGCAAGAAGGGGCGGATTCCTGTTCCACCTGTTGAGGCGCTTGTTCAGCTCTGTGTCTGAACTCTCAATGATGAAGAAGGTGCACCGCCAGTCCTTCCATTTGTTTGCTTTACCTCTCGTCATGAGGTAGCCCCTGTGGCTCGTCAATTGATACCAGCCGGTACCGCCTGCCTTAGGGGTCCGGCTGAGGTAGTTCATGTGGGCGAAAGCCTCGAAGCTCGGCTCCACCCCGTGCAGTTCGCACCCGGCCACATAGCCGAGTACGTTGACCCAGGAGTTCGGGGCTAACTGCCATAACCCCAACTCATACCCATCCAAGATCCGCTGAACAGCCGGATGTAATGGGAAACGCAACCCAGCCTTGATGGCCGCCTCGTAGCAGCCAAAGCAGGCGCCATCATAACTGGTACCAGCCGGCCAGACGACTGTGTCTTCTGGATCCTGGCACGAACACTAAAAAGCCGGGGCCCATTGTGTGGTTTGCGATAAAGCTCTCCACTTTCTCTTGCATGGCCGTGATCCGGCCCCGAGGTACCGTGCAGTAGTAGGGGGTATTTTGCTCTCGGTAAGAGGCGGATGGCTCCGCCCAATTGTCCCCCTTCTCAACTGCGTGAGAAAGCCTCGCCTCTTGCAGGCAACTGTTTTTCTCTTCTGTGTCCAGAGAAGCATGGCCAGAAGAGCTAGAATCGGAATCGTCCTCTGACGAGTCCGAAGAGGACGACTCCTCCCCTCTCCCGGAGGGGCCCGCCTCCTCTCCTTTAAAAGGAGCAGGAGAGAATGAAGAATTGTCAACTGTGAAATGGGAAGGGGTCACTTTGATTCCTCCCTCAGAACAGCCGGCTTTCAAGCCGCTTTGTTTCACTTCCACATCTGGCGCCTGGTCAGATGTTTCACTAATCGGCACCCTGTGGGAGGAGCCGTCTGAATTTGAGATCCTAGCAGTCTTTTTTGTTCTGGCCATCATGCTCTACATAGACACAGATACAGTCGGACTTTGTATAAAGGGCAAAGATGGGTCCGGAAAAGGGCAGGCGGCACTCCTAGTCCTAGATTCAGCCGTCCCCGGTGACCGGCTGATCACTAACCTAGGTCGTGTCGTGTGCTTTCGTGGTGCCATTTCAAAAAATAAAAAAGAAAATTAAGAGTAAGAGAACCGACAGTTACCTGAACGAGTGACGATTGATGAAGTGCTGAAAATCCTGTGCAGTCGGCTTGTCAGAACAGGCGGTAGGCAGAAAAGGTCCAAAATGTCAGAGCAAGTTCAGGGGTCCGAATGTTCTCTCACAAAGTTCTCAAGTGTGAAAATGACTCAAGTCAACACTCCTTTATATAGGCGAAGTGAGAAGGCGAAGGGTCACTTCCAGAATTCAAAATTTGGGCGGGAGAATCTCTCGGCCCTTCGCCGAGTGACACCTGTAGCAGGCCGTCGCCTGTTACCGTTCGACACCTATCACAGGTAACACGTGACCAGTCACGTGCCACCTGTGAGGGGCAAATGATTAGGGGATTTTGCTCCCACCAATCGGAATGCGCCACGTGGGCCAATCAGGTCCTGCCAAGTGTCCCCCAGTTGGAACTGTCAGGGCTTGCCACGTGGCACACGCTTATTCGTCCACCTTGGACCTATTATGTCATGACACGTGGCATACTCCATGCCTAATGGAGAAACCGGCCACCCAGGCCCAACTTTCGAGGGAAGCCCAATCAGCCCTAGGTTAACCTAAACCTAGGATTGACACGTTTCCCAAGGTTATAAATACCTCCCTTAATCCTCATTAAGGGGGATGACACATAGATTACACATTGATTACAGAGTTACAGGCTGGTTACGCTAAAAACTCACACTAAACACTCTCACCTAGAGAGACCCAATCACTTTAATTTCCGCATTAATTCCTCTTTAATCAAGTACTAACTTGACCGTTGGAGGCGGAGCTCCCACCACCAGGAGTCTCCGTTGTTTTGCAGGTACAGGCGTCCGGTTCCAGTCTCGGAATTGTAACTCTCCCGCAGGACATCAGAAAACCCCGAAACAATTTCTATACATTTTATTGAAATACATGAATATGATGAAGAAAGTGATGGTAATAAATGTAGAGAAAGAGTTCAATTTGGAGAAGTCAGTTTGTAATCATGGTTTCTTCATGATGCTCCCTAACCAATGGGCTCCTTGTTCATATTCATTTCGACGCCCTTTACGACTCGCTGATGGCTGCTCTTCTGTCATGGTCTCTATCTCATCCTCAACATTAGATCATCAGCATTTAATTATACGCGCTGAGAAACCCGCCTCCCTATCCGACTCTGATCGGGACCTCATTCGGGTATGTACATACATAATAATCTTTTTACTTAAAATAAATGCACCAACATTAAATATTGCTTTACGTACAAATGTATGTATGTATGAATTTTCTGAATTATACACGTACACACACTTGGGTTAATGTAGTACTAATTGGAAATATATATTTTTAAAATGTTTATAGAAACAAGTTGTACGCATGCTGAGATTAACAAACAAGGATGAAATTGATGTAAGGAAATTCCAAGAGGCACATCCTCAAGCAGCAAGTAAAGGATTTGGCCGTCTTTTTCGCGCTCCTGATTTGTTTGAGGATATTATCAAGGCTATTCTTCTTTGCAACACATCGTAAGCAGTTCATTTTTTTCTTTTTATTTTGCTATTAATTAGTAGTAGTGCTTTCATAAAATGGTCTTATAGTAAGATAGGCTGGAAATAGATGAATGACTTACTTGTAGGTGTACAACAAGTGACTTTTATTAATCTCTGGACATATGAAACCGCCTCATACAAGAATTTGCGTTTTCATTATATATACAGTTCAAATTAGTTCGATCTCTAATACATGAGCTTATGTATTAATTATAAAGGTGGAACAGAACACTAGAAATGTGTCAATATCTTTGCGAGCTTCAAGCTGAACTTCACTCGGGTATGCATAAAGATGTTCTTCTAGCTCAAGATTGTAATAAGTCTGCTGATACAACTGTTAGACCAAGAACAATCAACGAGTACTTTCGTAGTTGCAAAAGATCAACTTCCAAAATTAATCTCAGAGCACTTGGAAACTTTCCAAGCTCAAAAGAGTTGGCTGGTCTAAGCGAGGAATTTCTTAAACAGCGTTGCAATCTTGGGTTAAGAGCAAAATTCATCATTGAAGTGGCTAATTTGGTGGAGAATGGTGAATTAAACCTTGGAGATCTAGAGCTCGAGCTTGAGGAAAGTTTTGATGAAGCTTCCTATGATAATAACATTCGCGATAAGTTGATGGCATTGAAAGGAGTCGGTCCATTTGCCACCAACAACATTTTAATGTGTATGGGAGACTATCGAAACATCCCTATAGATACTGAAACAATCAAGCATTTGTGTGAGGTCAGATTCATTCTTTCTTCTTTACACTTGAAGATAACTTACTTGCTGCTCGAGTACTCTGTCGTTCCAATTTTCTCCCTTTAACACCATTTATGTAGGTACATGATAGGAAGGATGCCAGACAAGTTTATGATAAATTTGCGCCTTACCAATGCTTAGCTTACTGGTATGTATGTATGTATGTATGCATATGACATATGTATGTGTTTCGATTTAATATTGTTGTATAATGTACTAGGCTATCCTAGGAGTTCATGCAGCATGACTTGATTCTGTTTTACCACCTCTGATGTTGTAGGTATGAATTAGTGGAATCTTATGAGAGGAAACTTGGGCAGAAACTAAGCAAATTATGTCCTTCAAACTATCACAAGGTAGCTACTAGCTACTTGTCCTCCAACACTAACAAGGAAAAAGAAAGCACATCTACTGTCACAGCAACAAAAAGAAAGAGGTCTAGCTCGCGATGACCATGTATCGCGCTGCAGCCTGCAAGCTTACTTGTGGCTTCATTGCTAACATTCAGACTAGCTTTTACTATGCAGTAGACACCTGAAAAAACGCAATTAACACGCCTGACTAGTACTGCCATTATTATTAATTAGAGCTAGCTAGCATGCCTTTCTAATTTGTTTGACAGATAGTGTGTCTAAATTCTCTGTTTAATAGTTGGAATTTTTGATTTGTTGAATTAGTTTGTGGTTCACTTCCATAGAGATTTTAACCTAGAATGGATCTGTCTGCCGGTTGTTTTTATTTAACTCCATATTTTATTATTATTGTTTCATAGTCCTCGCTCTAATAAACAAATAAATAAAAAATTCACCCACTTAATTTAAGTATCCATTTATGTCGATAATAATTTACCTGTTATTGATTGGGTTTGGCTTAAAATATGAATAATAATCTTATTGAATAATCTAGATTAAAGAAATAAATACAATATTATGAGTATATAGTATTCCACGCACATTAATTGTAGCTAGTATGATTTTTAACTCATGTTACAATTTCAACTCTTAACCTACAATTTAGGTTAAATAGTGATAGACTGATAGGTTTCAATTTAAAGATTTTTTTCCTTGTCATTTTATAAACAATGTCAATAAGATTACACATGATACTATTGTTTTTGTTGTATGTCCTATTATAATCACAAAATTATATATGATCAGTATGGTTTAGCACTAGCTCTATCTTTTTATTTATTTTTATTTTGATCACATAAATGGTAAGTGATTTAAAAAAAACGAAGGTGATAATATAGTTATGTTTTCCTTTTTTTTCTTTTTTTTTTTCATTTTTTTAAGGGGTAGTTATGTTATATATCCTTAGTTAAAGAGTCGTCTATGACCACTATCTCTGTAATAGTAATATGTCTATTCTCTAACCAATATTTGAAAAGTAAATATGCTTAACTAACTACTCGTGTCAAAAAAAAAAATGTCTCAATGACAATTCCATTATCTATGAAATTGTATCTAATTATCGTAAAGAATTATGTTTGGTTAATAAAATCATTTTTTTATTATTATTATTTTTTTCAAAAAGAGATGTCTGCTACACTTTAGAATTAAGAAGGAATAAGAATCACTTGTTAAACAAGGCTATATTAATAATTAAGGGGGAATCGGGTTAAAGTCAAATTGATTGAAAATTAATTGGGAACCCACCAGCACTACAAATTGGAATTAGGGAGTAAAATGGTTGAACCAGTGAGTATTACTCCCTCCATTCACGTGTGTTTGTACAATTAAGGTCTGTTCTCATAAACTGAACTGAAATGAGCTGAGCTGAACTGAACTGAAATGAATATTTTATAAGAGAAGGAAATTAGGAGTTGAACTGAACTGAAAATAAATATATAAGAACAAACTCTTACTCTGTATCTTTTAAGTAAAGTAAAGACAAACTTTGACCATGAATATTTATTAATGACACTACATGTGATCGATGTGGTGATTTTTAAGCCTCCTTTGTAACCGACTATATAATTTGTAATCTCCTCGAAATCAATTAAATTTCTTCTCACAAGCCTGTAGAGGTAGCTAATGTATCATTATTCATATTGATATCTGATCAACGAGAAAGGCACGAAAAATATTCTCATACGATTGAACCACGTAAATATGTGCTATTATTTTCGTGAACAATTAAACATGTATGACCTTCCTTGTATGTATCATGTGTAGTTTCAAATTATTAATGCTACTCCGTACTCAAAATATGCATCAAAAACTACTATGAAAAAGTGAAACATACATAAAACTAAAAATAGGACAAACAATTAAAAAAAAAAAAACCGGATGGTGTACAATAATGATAAGTTGGGGTTAATTCCAGCTTCCAACAACATAATACTCAAATGATGTTAACAGATTAAAAGAGAAAGTAAGTGCAACGAAGCAACAAAGGGCACCACATTTTCTTCCGTTTTTTTTCAAAATTCACTTTCAATCGAATAAGAATAATCAGCTTTTAGTGAGCAAGCCAAATTAATCAAACCTGATTTCTACTAAAGATTTAACTTTTTATATGTCTTGACTTTCTGTAAGATTTGTCTCATTTTTATCTATTTTCAATAATTGTAATTTTGCACTTTCAAGTTCTTCAAGATTCCGACGTTTATATTTGTTTTGCTGTTTTTTTTAAGGAAAAAAAACTTGTATAGCCGTAAGAGCAGGATCAATCCTTTTTTTTTTCAACTAACCCTAACTGGAGTATCGTCACATAAGTATTCATAACTTGTGACCATAAAAGGTAACACTAGAGTTATAAAATACAACAAAACATTATAATATTGTCCATCTAACGTACCACCAAAATATGAGATTGAACTATTTTGTCTAACTCTATTACTCTATCATATAAAAAAGTGCACCGGTACATGATTGCATCAATTACCAAAATATGGTCATTTACTAAATATTTCAACGGAACGAGGGTCGATTCATTATTGTTAATAGCTCTTTCAAGTTGTCCACGTAGAATACAGATAGACACACATATATAGAATAGGGCTCAAGTCTTATATGCTTGTCAAATCCGCTGGAAAGACTATATGCTTAGGATCATGTTATGTACAAAAGGGCCTACATCTAATTTGTTCAGGATAGGCCAAAAGTACGCCAATTTGAAAAATAGGAAAAAAGGCACATAATCTATAGTAACAACTTTTTCATACAACTATTGAAGTTCTACTAATATAAATAAACCTCAAGTGGTATTGCTCAATTCCATCAGCATCTATATACATATCCCTTAATCATATATACTAGGAAAGTAATAGCCACAATTTTAGTCAGTTGTTTTTAATACTGTACTCAAGAATAATGTATAGAAGATCATCATTTAGAAACTCTTCAACAACTGGCAGCCTTGTTGTTAAGAGATCGACTGCTGCTCCAAAGCCAACAGAAGTAGCAGCCGCACCACCACCACTATCATTACCAATATTGCCTCACTCTCAATCAACTAAAATCGTACCAAGAAGTCATAGTAGTAGAGGTACTCATGAATATGATCATCAGTATGACCTGCAGATATCGTTACAAAAACAGGCTGCTAAGCCTATAATTGAATTTCCAGTGTCCCCTGATGCAGATGCTCTACTGCTGGGTGAAGGTATTACAACTTCAAACCACCCACAACATAGGATGGTCCAGGTGAACCTTCCGAACCCCTTTACTTGTATGGGTTGTAAGGAGTATGGTGCTGGCTCTCGTTTTACCTGCCAACAATGCAACTTCGAGCTTCATGACTTCTGTGCTTTAGCCCCTCCTGTCCTCAAGGCCCATCCTCTGCACTCTCAGCATCAGCTTGTGTTCACCCCGAAACCTGGTATAATAATAAATCTTTACTAACTGTTACCTAATTAAACCCACCATAGTACTTTGTTTTATGAGAATTCGGAACTCTTTATTCCTATCAAATGTTGTGAATACAACTAATAAGATGGCAAAGCAACCAACTGATCAAATTTGACACTTTTTCGGATTGTATAAAACTGATTAACAAGGATATTTGATATTGTCATGGATTAACAGGTAAAGGAGGACTCTTGAGATCAAAGTGTGATGTGTGTGGAAAGTCTCCAAAGGGATACTTGTTCCACTGCAGTGCCTGCAGCTTTCAATTACATCCTTGCTGTGCCATGCTGTCAGCTAAGATGAATTTTCCAACCCACCCTCATTCCCTTGTCATCTTACCAGTCACTGCTTTATCTACTGGTCCAGGCGAAATGATGTGCAGCGAGTGCAAGAAGAGAAGACCAGGGAAAGTTTATCAATGCACTGTGTGCGACTATTATCTGCATGCTGTGTGTGCAAAGAGCATGGTTAATGGCCTCCATGCCAACGGCATCAAAGGCCTTGAGTTTGAGAAACCCAACATGTTTGGTGTGGCTGCTAAAATTGCATCCCACGTTGTTGTTGGACTCATGGGTGGACTTGTGGAGGGCGTAGGAGAAGGTTTAGGCGAAGCTCTCACTCAGAATGTCCTCAAAGGAAGATGCAACAGTACCGGGAGACCCAGGACTTCCGGGTAGCTACTGGCTAGCTACCTGTATTAAGTACTGTACTATGTAGATGCAAGTGTGTATGTTTGTGCAGATATGTACACAAGATTATTTCCAGCAGTAGCTTATAGGTTGTGTCAAATATACTGCTGGTGTATCAGTCTTTCAATTTTTGCTTGGGGTGGATTCAATATGTTATTCTGTATATTTCTTAATTGCAACTATTAAGTCAATGAAAAGAGCTAGTCACTGTTGCTGACCTACATATATGCTGATAATATACAGTATTGTGAATAGTGCAGTATTTCCGTTAAGTATACACTGCCCAAATGCATATATTCTGGGTATTTTGTTCAGCAAAATGGGAAATGCTATTGAAAGAGTAATGAGTTCAGAGTAAGATTCACAATTAAAGCATTGTTGATAGGCAATTGCAAAATAACAAAAACCGATGCAGGCATCAGGTCAGCTGTACAAGTAAACTAGAAAAAAGCAAAGCCAAACAATGTAATAAATCATATTTACAATCAGTTTTGATGATTAATTTCCTAGTATTCGCAGAAGACTGTTGATGCTACGACAACAACGAAACATCCATATATATATAAACAATACTCGCATCTCACTATGAGACCATGCTTATGGTATCCACAACTTAGTTTTTCCACCTAATACATGCTAATATAGAATACTGCTGAATAAAAATGTTGATGAATATGTATACATAATATATTATTATGACAAGTATACAACAAAAATTACCTACTGATCCTACACATCTGCTTTACAGTTACAACTTTCACCTATAGACAACTCTACTCTCTTGCTATTTCAAGAAGAAATAAGCAAACGAATCGAGCATCAAGTACTTCTTTGTCCTGATTATTTTTTCAAGACCGTCAGCCTCCAAATCTACGAAGTATAACTCATAATATGGACCACTTACATCTTACCTTACCATAGATTTTGACGTCAAATATTCAAGAAACATGTTCCAAATGTCATTTTCTAAGTAGATCAGTGAGCTGGATGACAGGTAAACACAAAAGTTTAATGTCTGTCATCAATAGAACAGGCTAAGCTCAAATTTAAAGAATCTCCAGATGGGCGCAAAAAAAATTGAAGCAACAAAGATAGAAGCAGCATCGGTTAATCTTTCATTCTTTATTCATCAAGCCTCAGCAAGGGGAATGTAACATCAAAATTCCAAAACCATGAACACACGGCCATATTTTCTTTTGTAATTAGCATCCCGATGTTTTGCCCCTTAAATAACTGCCTGCATACCATTGCAACCGATATCCTGATAGTTTCTCTTTCAAAACGTCATAACCACCCACTGGGCCTCAATAGATAGAGCGTTGCAGCTCATTTAACCTTTCTTTGAAATATCATGAAACTAGCTCTCACTTTCGAAGCACTACATAGCCCCAAAATCCACATTGTCCCACATGAAAGGAGTGACTGAATTTACATGCAAACTTTTGAAGAACAAGCAGACACAAACACATACTGCTGCAATGGTCAGCATAGAATGAATAAAGGGACGGTGCAGAAAACCATGGGAACCAGGCATTCTACTGTAACTCCTCATAGCACATTTGGAACATGATTTTTGTTTTGTATCAAGTGGCAGGCTTGGCCTTTGCCTCACCTCAGCAGGCACCATGGATTCAACAATCTCATTTCCAATAGTAACAGAGACTTGCTTGTTTTTTCTGTCAGACAGCTTTTGAGCCACCATGCTATTCAGTGTATGATTATTTCTCATCAAAGCATAAGAATATGGAGACTGACCACCATCATCTAGAAGAGATTTCCAGCTATGCAGTCCAATCTACACCAATATTACATCAAAGAACTAGTTAGAAAGATACAACTTAAATACTGAAAGGATAAATAAATATATAAATAAAATAAATAAAATAAAATAAAATAAAAAACCAGACATCACTATAAATCTCATTGTGTACAGACAAAACCAATACAAAAAACAAAAGACAAGCTAAATAATGTCTAGCAAGTCCGTAATAGTGGTCAGACAGATCCTTAAAACCTTATTAGATTCCATAATGCAACTCTGTAGCTTATGATTTTACAGCAAGATGCTGATACAGAAGCAAAAGCTTGAGCATATTACCTGCATGGGATCATTAGTAAGAGCATCTACAATATCGTATGAGCCTGATGTACAAGCAGCCAAATGCAGAGGTGTGATGCCCCCAGGTCCACGGAGATTAGGAGGGAAGATGTACTTCTTTGACGAATCACTGCCACAGGGTGCAGAATAATGGACAAGCATGTCCACCATCTTCCTGGAGCTCCTTTTAACTGCCCTGTGCAAGAGGTGCATGTTTGAAAGTGCTTCCACACACTCCGTCGATAACCCGTCCATTGTAGACTCTGCTTCAACAAATATATCCAAAAGTGTTTTAACCAAAGCACTGTAATCTCTTTCAGTGGAAAATGTCAAGAGATACTGAAAGCGATGAAGCATAAAATCATTAACAGCAATATCAGACGATTTTTGTCTCTGGAAAAGCCATCCGAGTTCATTTAAGAAGTGCAGGGCTTCATGAGAATGAGGACTTGCAACATATTGGGCCTGATCATCAGTGATGACATCAGAGTCTTTTGCCTCACAAAACTCGCGCTCAAGGAGCCTAAGCTCCTGACAAATTTTGGCATCTGCTATTATAATAGGAAAGCAATTGCCTCTCACACCATTTTCTACCTGTTAAGATAATTCAGAATTTATCAGTTATATTCATTTGAGCCTTAAGGTTGTTAAAAAAAAAAAAAAAAAAAAAAGGGTAAAAGAGCATCACATAGATCTTACCTCAATAAAACAACGGCCTAGAACAGAATCAGCTGCAGCATGCACATTAAATTCACTCAATCTTATCTCTTCGCATGGTAATCCTTGATCAGATGATTTCAAAACTTCCTTTGACGAGTACCCACCCATGTATGCACAATGAATCCTACAAATTTCACATAAATTATAATGCTTGCTCATCTTGTCATAAGTAAAAGAAAGATTACAATAATAGGAAAGCATTGTGGGTTGGAAAGAGTAACAAATGCATAGCACTTACTTGGTACCAGGAGAAGTCAGGTTCCTGCCTCTAAGGACAAGAGATGTGTCTTGTCCACTCACAACGGCCAAAGGAGAAACCACAAACAACTCGGGAGAACTCACTGTGCTCCAAGGTTTGCAAATGCGAATCCTTCCTGGAAAATAAAGGAGAAAATAGTCCATCACTGAATCAAAATTATGGCATACACCATGATGCCACTTGAAACCAATTTAATGCACACTCACAGTCCAAAGGGTAACATAGGAAAATGGGTCTGGAAGGATATATAGATATAGAAACATATGCCACACTGAACTCCTGCATATTTTTTACTATTTTAATATTAAAAGAAAAGGCTCACCATCCTTATGAACTGCTAACTGCCTGCCAATGTTCACAGAAAACCTCCCACTTCTCCAGAATTCGAAATCAGAATCCTGAACCAATGCATCAACTCGTTGAAGAAAGCTTTCTTCAAGCTGAAACCAAAAACCCCTGCAAGGTCAGTCAATTTTTCACTAGAAATATTGTATAACTGTATGGTAGTGGCTCACTTGTTCCCATGCAGCAGATGACATAGATACATATATTGAAAGAACCACACAACCAGGTCTAATGTAACTCTCCATATCTGATGGACTGTTAGAAAGCCAATTGTAGATCTGCAATTTGGGGCACCAATTAGCAGTGTTAGGAACACTTGACAAATCATGACTATGCATAAAAAGTTATCATGCATGTGAAACCTAATGTCCCACCTGAGTACGCAATGCTCCAGGTAATTGACTGGGATCCTTATCAAACAGTTTGAAAATGATTCGGCCGGTACGGTCCTTCTGATCATTTTATGAATCAACAATAGAGAGTGAGTCAGGTGACAAGAACCTAGACAATAGAGAGCTATTTAAATTTTTTTGACTTAACACTACCTGAGGATCTGAATTGAAACTTGGTGGAGAATGGTCAGAACCAGACGAAGAAGTATACCCTGCTTGGTGTGGCAGGTTCTGCAAAGAATTACTGGCAGCTTTATTTCCCATGGTAAAGAGCTCTAGAGTCATCCTAGAAGCAGAGGTCTCAGTTCGGCTTGCTTCAACGTTTACATTGGCCTCCTCACTAAATGACATTCTGACAGGCCTAGCACTTTCTGAGGCAGTTTCCAATGGAAACAGTTTTCTAGTTACAGGTGCAGCCGATGAATGTGATCTCTCTTCAGTAGGATTGCTGCTGTCAGACGAGAAATACCTCCTCGAGGTAACCAGATTAGGCGAACTATCATCCCCAGGTGATGAACTAAACAGCTGCAACGGTAGGTTTGTTCGAGTGTCCTGAACTTGGCTGTCTGAATCTTCAGTTGGAGATTGATAACTTGAACTGCTTCTCTCTCCACCTAATGACTGCAACTCTATAGATGGCTTCTTACATGCATCTGAGCCAGTATCCTTGTCCATATCAGTTGACTTATTTTTATCCACGCAACTGGCAGGATTACTCTTCTGAGAAAAGAACGCAAGAGAATCTGGACTTGATGCTGCCAAAGTGGCTGAAAGGACAGCAAGAAGATCGGTAGTTGATCTAGAAGCTGCATCAACATCCATATTGCTTTGACCCAAAGCACCTTGTTCAAAACCATTTTTGGTTGAGCACGGTGGAATATGAGGGTTTGCTGCAATGTCCGTAGGCAGAGGTAATGAATTAATCTTGCTCAGTATTTGCATAAGCTGGTTTTTGTCAGGTAACGATGGGCAAGGAGGAACATTCTGTTCAGCATTCCCTAAAACAACAACAACAAATCCTTGGTCCTAAAATGATTCTGATACAAGCAAATGAGGAAAAAATCATCTAAGAACTTAAACAAATCGTACCTTGCCCCCGTGCTAAAACTGTCAACAAGTTGACAATGTCCAAATTTCCATAGCCAGTCTTGTGGCTGTCAGTAGGCTGTATGGCCGGAGATGTGGTGTCCTCCGCTTGAGTTTTCCTTCTTCTTTTATTATGACCAGCAAGTCTTCTTCGACAACTTCTTTTACCTTCATCAAATTCAGCTAGTGGGTGGAACCTAGAAACAGAAACCAAGGTAAGCAAATCAGAACAAATTTATTGATTTTAGATCCCTGCATCCTCGAAACTGTGAAGAATTGGAAGCACAGTAATACTACTAAGCTCACTAGAGTCTTTAAGGCATTAATAAGGCAGTAATATTAACAAGAAAGAGGGACCACACCTGCTACACTGCTGGCAGAACCTCTGCATCTGCTTGCCTACAAGTGCTTTGGTGGCCTTGCTGTGTAACTCGCAAACCTTATGGCGTCTGTGATAATCCTTAGATTTGGAGAGATCCTCGCTACAACTATCCACCTGACACATGGGATAGTTCCCACCGCCTGGAGATCCAGACCGAACCTTCTTGTTGGGCCTTGAAGAGGAAACCGGATCCTCTGTTGAGTTTGAGCTCTGAACATTCCCAACGCTGGTTTTGTTAAAACTGGTTCCAGTGCCATTATTGTCTACTACCCCACCTAGCTGTAATCGAAGACTATTTCCACTTTGTTGATCATCATGAGGAGGGCTGCTGCTCTTCGAGGTAAAGGACGAGCTTAAAACAGGGTTGACAACTTCCTTGTTATTAGGAGTCGATACCTCATGAAGACTACCCAGACGAAGCCGATCAGATTCAAGAGGTCTACTTCTAGCTAAGAAATGGGAACTATCCCACTCCCAATCCTTGGGATTCCATCCATGCCCAGAACGATGGATTTGTGAGTGTTGCTGTTGTTGTTGGTGATGATTACTACCAGAATTATAACAAAGACTACGCTTCGAACCGATCAAAGCCCCCTCACAAAACCTCCCACCAATGTTTTGGTGTATATACAAGGGGGAAGCCACTTGTGTTCCCACCTCTTCCATTTTCCAACCACACCCTCTCTTTCACTCGCGCTCGGCTTTTCTCGTGTATCAATTACTATACCAACTTCCCAGAATTCCAGAAACACACTGAAAATTCACAAAATCTAAATTGAGCAGACGAAATCACCCTTTAAGTACACACAATGTTAATGGTCTAACACATCCATCAAAAGATTCAATTTTTTTCGCCTTTGCTCAATCTTTATAACCCATTTTTTTCAATTTTAGAAAACTTAATAATAATAATTCATAAAGTTTCTAAAAATAGAGTCACACAAAGACTAATATCCAACTAGAAAGGCTAAAGTATAGGGCAAAGAGAAGCAGAAATTTAGGATTTTTTCACATGAAATCAATCTCTAAAAACTAGCAAATCAGCAAGCTTATACTATCATTTAATTATCTAATTTTTTTTTTAAAAAAAAATAGAGAGAGCTGACCTTTGAAAGAGGAGTTGAAGAACCAAACCTAGAAATCATCCACTAGCAAGTTAATTAGAGCAGCTGCAAAAACAAAATCAGAAGAATTAAAACATAAAAACGAGCTAAAATCTCTAAAATTAACAACAAAAAATGAAGAAGAAAAAAAGTAGAAAAATTACAAATTAAATATGAGATCTCCACATTTAATGCCTGAAAATCAGAAATCGGAGACACCAAAAACAAAATAAAAAAAGGATAAATGTAAAAATGAAAGAGTTAGAAGAAGAGTTGGATCTTGAAAACCCTAGAAGAGAGAAAAGAGATCTGAAGAAAGAAGGAAGAAGAAGGAGATAATGGGACAAAGCGAAAGGGGGAAGAATGAATGAATGTGTGAGAGATAAAGAAAAAGAGGAGAGAGAAAAAAGATGCAGCTGTCTGACCAAATTTCATAGAATAAACCTTTCAAATATTATTATTATTATTATTATTATTATTTCATACACAGTACAATTTAAATAATCGACCGCTTTTTGTTTAATTTTTTTAATTTTTATTATTTATAGTTTTTTTTTTTTTTTTTTTTTGACAAGTTACTATTTATAGTTGAATAGTACAACTTTGCGTTTACTATCAATACTGTATTACTGTGAATCATTCGTACATTCGACCCGGATTATTCACAGTTTTTTTTTTGTTCAGCTTCATTCATGTACACATCAAGATTTTCAAACCATAAACTAGTGTTGGAAGACCGTCAAACTAGGAGAAGTCTTTTTATTTGCAAATTCTCTCTTATTCAGATCGATTAAATAATTATGTAGTTTTTTTTTTTATCGAGCAAGATTTAGTGTAGTTGGTTGCAAGAGATTCGCCTTTTAACCTTGAAATTACAATTTTTCCTCACCTTCAACCATTTCTATCAAATAGGAGTATAACTGTAAAAGGTTTGGTATTATTGGTTGGAGGAGATTCACCTTTTTACCATTAAATTACAAGTTTCTCTCGCAATCTCACTTCCAACTGTTTGACTTACAAATAAATAGATTTTTATTAAAAGTTTTATTATTCTTAGTTATACCATATAATTCCCGAGCCATGTTTGGTTTTTGAAATTCATCAAATAGAAATCTCTATAGAAATGTAAGTCAATATTCAACCATAAATAAATAAATAATGAAATTTGTAGATAAATAAATAATTTCGCAAAAAAGAAAAAGGTAGAGTTTAAAAGGGAAAATATGTACTCATATTTATTTAATGATTACTCCTCAATATCTTTACCTTAAACCACATTGCAAAAAAATAAATTTGTTGAACCTAACTAAATCAACCTAAAACTTAAACTTGATTAAAACCTTAAATGATAGGTGGCATAATGGAGTTAATGATATTGACATAATTACAGTGACCAAATTAGTCCAAAAAAACGAAAAAGGCTACACATACAATGGTTGGTAGCCTTTAATTGATTTGCATTTTGGAGCCCACCTTTTTTCCCTCTTATTTTTTTGGTCCATTTTTGATGTGGCATACATACAATGATATTGTATGTGATAACCCACATACAACCATTGTATGTGTAGCAAAAAAAACATGCGTGCATGGGCTTCCAAAATTAACCTTAATAAAAGGACCAAAAGTAGTTAACCAAATGCATTGGTTTGATTAGTACAAGTGGATTACTGTAATTTTTACTCACTTTTCACCATACATTTTCTTTATTCTTTTACTTCACACCTTGCTTCCGCAACACAAGGCACGTGCATACCCTTTAAAGGCCAGCCTTCCTATAGATAGTACAATTAGTTTTTTTTTTTTTAGAGATATTTTCCTTTGTTAGATATACTTGTACTCGTATTACGGAGTAATCCATAGATGATATAAGATGGGTCTTATTGAATCGGAATTTTATATAGGTCAACTACTGTCTAGATCAGAAATGCCTTCAGTTATTCTCTAAGGAATTTTGATTTCTTCGTATTATGAAATACAGAGTAAGGGCCTGTTCTCATTGACTGAACTCAGCTGAACTGAACTGAACTGAATATTTTATAAGAGAAGGAAATTAGGAGCTGAACTGAACTGAACTGAGCTGAGCTAAACTAAACTAAACTAAACTGAATTTCAACGTAAGAGAACATACCCTAAATATAAAAAAAATTAGTTCACTGAAAATTCTCAATTTAAAGTGCATAAATTTGATCTCATATTGAAATACAAATTAACTATAAGACTTAGTATTTGTTTGACTGACAAAATAATGAAAAATTATGTAAATTACCAAAGCTCCTTAGCCAATGAAAATTTAAGGTCTGATCATTTCAGCTTAATTTTATTTTACTTTAGTTCAATTTAACTCCAATCAGTTCAGTTTAGTTCAACTCCTAATTTCTTTCTCTTATAAAATATTCATTTCAGCTCTATTTAGTTCAGTTTAGCTCTGATCAATTTAATTCAGTTCAGCTCGGCTCAATTCAATTTAATAAATGTACATAGACCCTCATAAAAATTTTAACTTTTTATATTTATAACCTAATTAATTTGATAAATTTATAGAAATTTCATTACAAAAATAAGTTCTTATAAATTACACCTTCGGAGTACATAATTTTCCTTGTCAAGCAAACGAACGTCTAAGATTTGCTTAGTTGTTGATAAGAATATGAAGTAGAACCGTACAAATATAGTTGTCAATAGTAAAAAATAAATAAAAGACAAAAAAAATAAAATAAAAAATAAAAAAACTGGCAGTGTACTTTTATCCATATAAAAAAAGTTGTACCAAAGTGAATTTAATTGGAGGAGAAAAAGCCCAAAAGTGGTCCTGGCCACTTGACATTTGTAATGGGGCCCACGCAACACCTTGTCAAATGTCAATTTCTAATTTCATGTAATTGTTTTGTACGGACTTCCAACACCTACTTGATTAATCGTCCGGAATCGGATCAATACATGTATGATTCTCCGAGTCTACTATCATTCTTCATAATGGACACCTTATCTTTTACCTCTTCATTACTGCTCCATACGGTTTATGTCGTAATAATGGCAACATTTTTTTTATTTTTTTTTTTATATTTAGGGTATGTTCTCTTACGTTGAAATTCAGTTTAGTTTAGTTTAGTTTAGCTCAGCTCAGTTCAGTTCAGTTCAGCTCCTAATTTCCTTCTCTTATAAAATATTCAGTTCAGTTCAGTTCAGCTGAGTTCAGTCAATGAGAACAGGCCCTTACTCTGTATTTCATAATACGAAGAAATCAAAATTCCTTAGAGAATAACTGAAGGCATTTCTGATCTAGACAGTAGTGACCCAATACTACTTTATTATTTCTCTCTCCTACCAACTTTGCTTACATTACTTTTTTATTATTGTATTTCTTTCTCCTACTAATAATTAAATATGTCTCCTCTAACAATACTTTATATTATAAAATTCACATTTTAGTCTCACCCTATAACTTTTCTAAAACTTTGAGCAACACCTAGTGTTGCGATTATTATGAAGCGGAGGGAGTACAATTTCTTTCTCTCACATTAACATTTTTTTTAATTCCTCCGTTATAAATTAGTTGCAACTTTGGAATATTTTCTCTCACACAAATATTACCCAAAGTTGCAACTAATATGTAACGGAGGTAGTATATAGAGTTCATAGAGCTATAAAGTAATTAAGTAATACTTCCTCCATTTTTTAATTGGCACATCGAGTTTTACTACATTCGCAAACTACAATTTGACTCGTTTTTGTGATTTATATCTATGGTAAATCAAAATCAAATCTTGTTTGTATCATCGATCTTAGTGTAGGTTTTATCAATTATTTTTTATATATAGTTTTACAATGTTGAAAATTAGAGATATTAAAAATTGTGCATTCACAAGCGTGATAAAAGCAACATGTCAAATAAAAAAATCGAAGGTAGTACTTTGTATGTCATGCATATATCCCTACATTTAAAAAAAAATGAGAAAACTATAATGAATAGCGTTTGGACAATTACACCCTTCAAAATATTTATTTACTTAGGGTATGTTCTCTTCGGCTTAATTTCAGTTCATTTCAGTTTCTAATTTCCTTCTGTCATAAAATATCCAGCTCATTTTAGTAAATCAGAACATACCCTTATTTGCACTCATTAATGTAAGGTGTTGTTCACTTTATCTTAATTTTATTGAACTGAAATTTATTTAATGAACTTATTATTTTTTTTTCAAAATTGAAATTAATTTTACTGAACTGAAATAATTTATGCTGAACTGAAGTTATTTTTGTTGATTCCTTGTTATATTTTTTTCTTAAATGTGTACTAATTTTTACTAAATTAAAATTAATTTTACTATACCAAAATTATTTTTACTGAACTGAATTGAAATTATTTCTACCGAACTTAGATTATTTTACAAAATATTTTTTTAAGGTGAATTAAATAGGGCCTTAATTGTCTTTTTTTAATACATTTAAAGTATTTGAAATCTTAAGAGTAATGTGCATACCTTTATAACCTTAAAAATATTTGTTTATATATTTTTCCTCATAAATGTCTGTTAACAACTAAGGGCCCGTCCCGTTCCGATTGACTGAACTCAGCTGAACTGAATTGAACTGAACTTATTAATTAGTGATTTTTAACTACGGATTAGTGATCTTTGATTATTTATTACTATACATATGTGTATATACAAATGTACATATTAAAATATTTACGAAAAATATACTATATAATTATAAAATTTATGAAAAATATATTAAAAACTTGAAACCTCTAAACATTTTAAACACATATACTATTTAATTTAAAAATAAAATAATATTATGACAAAAGAACACAAAACACTTACATGTATCTAACCCATTTGAACAATGAATTGTATCAATATTATTATTATTATTATTATTATTATTATTATTATTATTATTATTAATTAATTATTGATGATTATTATTATTATTATTTATTGATTATTATTATTATTTATTGATTATTATTATTATTTATTGATGATTATTATTATTATTTATTGATTATTATTATTAGTATTATTATTTCAATTATTATTATTATTATTATTATTATTATTATTATTATTATTATTTATTGATTATTATTATTATTATTTATTACTTATTGATTATTATTATTATTATTTATTACTTATTGATTATTATTATTATTATTATTATTGTTAATATTATTATTATTATTATTATTATTGTTGTTGTTGTTGTTGTTGTTGTTGTTGTTGTTGTTGTTGTTGTTGTTGTTGTTGTTGTTGTTGTTGTTGTCGTTGTCGTTGTCGTTGTAATAAGAGCTTAAAAGAATGAAATTTGGCTTTATATCATTAGCAATATCATTAGACATAAATTAAGAGCTGAACTGAACTGGAACTGAACTGAACTAAACTGAATTTCAACGGAAGAGAACAGGCCCTAAATTTGTAACATAAAACCAAACTAAAAGAGCTCACCAAACGTGGCAAAGCTATATTACGTGTTATTAATTTAAAATTTCAAGTGCTATAAAGCAAATATGTGGGTAACTTTGATAAAAAAAAAATTCCAATATGTAATTTACAAAAATTGGCAAACTGGTTCAATTGTTGCTCTTCACTTAATGTCTCTACTCTCTAGCCATTTATTTTTTTTTTAAAAAAAAAACACTTTTATACAATTATGTAATACATTCTTTATTTTATAATGTATAATTTTGACCATTAATATTTGTTTTACTAATAAGTATACAAGATTAATATAATGAAAATATACTTAAAGACTAATCCAACAATAATTTACATGGCAACATATGTTTTTATGTATTGATAAAATGTTTAATTAATTGCATAAAAAAAAGGTTTAATCAAGGTAACCATATCAGCATATGAAATAGTGCAAAAGACAAAGTGTTCTAATTGTTATGAAATGAAGGGAGTAGTAACTATTAAAACCGATACTTTTCAAAGTTTTGCAAAATTTGACCACCAAACATAGTGATAGGGCCCGACTTATCTTTTTAAGGGCATTAAAGTCTCTTAAAACATGTTATTAATTCGTGTAAAAAAAAAAAAAAACATGTTATTAATTACAAAGTACTTGGTACCTTTATCAATTTTCGGTCTTTCCAGGTATTGTTAGACCCTATTAGTTACCAAACTATTAGACTTATCGCCTAATTCAAGGAAGAAAAATTTAAAAAGGTGATCAATTGTCATGGTTGCAAGCAATCAAATACAATTAGTTATTAGCCATACATTTAGTTAGCAACAATAAGAAGCAAGTACAAGAGCGATAAGGAAGTAGAAAAAAAAATAGCTGTGATTGCATTGGATGAAATTGTCCTTGATTTGGCACACACATACACACATACATGTGCTATCTATCACACCTTTCGTTGTCATTGATGAATGCAGAAGCATCTTTTCTTTGCATTTTCGTGTCCCTTGACATTATTTTGATTTCGTACTCGTTAATTGTAAACCCTTAAAACACAAAGTACAGCAGTGAGAGAAAATAAAAGTAAACAACTGTCATCATAAAATGCCCATTATACATCATCTTATTTGACATTTCCTGTGTATACGTTATGCAATTCGGATAATATGATGGCACGCCCACCACATAATCTTCATGCTCAAGTTTCAGAAATAAGCTCTCCTTCTAACACAAGCCTGATTATCGCGGTTAGCGGTTGGTTACATGATTCTGTGATGTACTCAGCACCAAAGACGGTCCTTGATGCATCAGCTGTATAGAAATGTATTTTTTAATATTCGATTAAAATTCAAATCCTTGATTCAAAATATGCAGAGTTTATATGCAACTCTGAATACTTCTAAAATAATCATCTCCAATATGTGTCGTTCTATGTATAATGTATTGACAATACAAATTGTACATGCTAACTTGCTGAGGATAGCTCAAACATAAGCTATGATGATATATTCACACTTTGAATTGCTCACGAACAAGCTATTTTAATTCTTCTGCCCCTTGATACACATCAAATTAACTCGTGCTTCATGCCACCCATAGTTATGACGAGCTCAAAGAACAGGTGTGATGGAAATTAACTCCCCAACTACGCAAATAGCAGCAAGCTTGTGCATCTTTTGCACGAACACGACTCCCAAATCCAGTCTTACTCAGCCAAACCAAATCAATAGGTTGTATGACCCAGGCTTCTGCTAAAAGGACAATCATCTTTCTTTGCTCATTCAAGCAAAAATTCAACACATACGTTGAACTACTCAGCAGCCTGTACTGTAGCAGAAAACAATTGGTCCCTTGTTTCTTGAGATAGGAAGTATGTGATTTACATGTACATACAAAAATTACACTATACAGACGCCAAACATTACATAAACAGCGAGATCAGGTTATTGTGCAATGGATCGGAGATGTGCTCAACAAGGTTCTCTATAGGTCCTTTACCAGTCACAGCCGCTTGAATAAAGAAGCCTAACCAAGCAACCATCGCCAATCGGCCATTCTTCATCTCTTTCACTTTAAGCTCCTCAAAAGCAACAGGATCTTTACTTAGATTTAAGGGGTCGAAAAGTACTCCTCCTGGATAATTTATATCACCAGGTAAGAAAATTCCCAAGGGTTCCAAGGCTTCAATTCCACAATATCGTGCATACTCTGGTCCGACCTTCACAAAAAAGGTTACAAACATAATATTACATTACAAACAAAAAGCGAACGATAACAATTGGCAGAATAGGAAGTCAAAGAGGGGGCGGAGATACAGAACCGACAGATTGCAAATGGTGAACCATCAAGAAACTAGAGCAGATGAACTTTTACTACTAGATAAACAAAATACAGCCAGCTTAACGAAAAATCAAAATGCCCAACATGATGACATTACAATAATTGGATATAGAAACAGCTCTAGTCAACTTGCCTTTGTACTTGTGTTAAAAATTATAGACAGGAGTTTTCTGTGACAATGGCCCATTCCCATATTCCACTCATATTAAAGCAACAATAGTCTATACAAGAAAAACTGGGGGTACTATCAGAATTCAACGAGGTAATTCCCGACTCCAAGATATCTTGGGAACTTCCCCCTTTTCAAACGCAGAAAACTTGAATTTTGGTATCAAACTGTTGATTATAATTTAAGCATTTTCATATATTTTATTTTTATGGTTAGAAGTACACTAAATGAGACTTGCTTATCCAAGCTCAAACGAGCTCTGGAGCCCATATCCTTAACTCCTTAAGAGGTGGAGGCAACCATGAAATCAATGCAGGATTAATTACAGCAGGGTCAACAGCTACAACTAGAATGCTACAGATGTGAAGCTTCAATTTTAAGTATGCATCATTATCCCCCACAAAGGATTAATTACAAGATATTTTATATTCCTAGGTAAACTTAAACTGCAGAAACGTCATAATGGAATTAACATGAGTTCAGCCATACTGAAAGGCCGGCACACAGGAAGAATTAACAAGCATGACTCAAGGCCTATAAAGCAAAAAGAAGAAGTATTCAATATGGAAAGATAGGGTGGGTTATAACATTAGGTGTGCATCACCCTCTTAAGAACCATGATATAAAAAAATATTCATAATGGAAAACAAGGGTGGATTCTCACACTAGGTGTGCATCATCCTCTTGAGAACCATGTTTAAATACAGCATTAAGGATGGGGTGACAGTAATTAACCAAAGTACTGCAACATAGATGCCTTAATTCTCCTCAAAATACATAGAAGAGAAGATTCAACAACAATAAAGTTATTGAAAGACCAGTTATAAGGAATGAAGAAACCAAAGGCATACTGAGAAAAGTTACCATAAGAAGGACTTGGCATATCGCGATTACAATTACTCCTTGACTGCCTGCTAAGTGGAGTCCTGGAATGCCAAGATAGTCAAGTGTCTCTCCCTGAAGAATTTCACAAAATTATTCAGCAGCAGCAGCCGAAAGGACAATTTAGTGCATTAACAAAGGCAAAAAGTTGGAAATGTGCACTATCTTATAAATGAGCGAGTAACAACTCAAAGTTTACCGTACACAAGTAAAAATCATATTTGTACAGGTCAGCAGGGGCATTGACATGAATGGTTTCAAGACTTTCAACATTCACTTGGGTTTTGTGGGGGTGGGGGGGGGGGGGTCATCCTTGCTCAGAGAAGATGATGAATTGGGTCGGGATCAATCATTTAAGTTCCCCTTTTGTATTGCCAGTTTCAAGTCTATAATATTTAGAAAAAGAAATAGTTTTGAATGTTGGTGGTTCAGCAGTATAACAAGTTTACAAAGCATGAACCAGAACTCTACCCCCATTACTTCCCTGCAATCTCTTGTCAAATGCTTAGGCCAAGCAACTTCATCCTTCCTCACCAAAAATCTTCCCTTCTCCATCACCTTCCTCACCAAAAATCCTCCCTTCTCCATCATGACACATGCACCCTATGTTACTCGCTTGCATTGTTGTCCAATTAATTTCACCTCAAGTACCCATATAATTCTACTCTGTGATAAAAATGACAGTCTCAACACCTTTTCCTATGTTACATGCTTGTATTGTTGTACATTTCATTTCACTTCAAGTATCCAATTATCCATATAATTCTACTCCGTTATAAAAGCGACAAAGTCTTAACACCTTTTCCTATGTTACTCGCTTGTATGGTTGTATAATTCATTACACCTCAAGTACCCACAAGATTCTACTCCGTGATAATAATGACAGTCTTAACACCTACGCAAGTATTTGTGTCCTTGAGCAACATAACCACACCCCTTAATGACACCAACCGCAATTCTAGACTCCCCTTCACCCCCACAGCCATATTTCCTATTGTCTCACCAACTTGTCTCACTACAAAAACACCTAATTATCCTTCACACTATTCAACTGGACATCTTCCCAAGATATCTGCACAATAAACCAGCAGCAATCACCTCATGCCATCAATGGTAGGATGGATGCTTTAGGTGCTCTCCAAATGCAAGTCATGGTTCGAAAATGCGGTTCGGTCGCAATCGCGAAAACAGTCACACTAATTCGGTAACGGAATTGATGCGTTGAACATATGTTCATGGACTTCATTGCGGTTGTCGCGCAATAATATTTTTAATTTTAAGTTTTATGTATTTTTATAATTAATTTTTAGAAATTTTATATTCTTGTATACTTTTTTTTTAAAAAAAATGGACTTAATTCTACACTAAAACTAACTATAATAGTTTGTTTAAAAAAAAAAAAAAAAAAAAAAAAAAACACTAACTATAATAGTTGAAAAGGGAGGAAAATAGGTAGGGGGACATGTAGGAAAAAAAAAGACAAAGGTAAGTGAAGGGGTAGTTAGGTGGTAGAGTCAAGATAAAAATTAAAGGGGAACCAAAGAAAATTCTAGGCATCCAGCTGTCATACGAGAATAGCCCTAGAAAGTTCTAAAAGCATTCGGACGTCTCCCAAACCTTGTAGTGCAATATGGTACCAGAATAGTTTTTCCATAGCTCTAACAGTCTACCATTGGAGAATGAACAAAACCTCACTGATAAGGAGCCTTATGCCATTGCCGGGAATCAAGTGTCGACTACTATCCACATTTAGGACAAGGCGAAAGTTTGGGCGACGGGTGGTGCAAGTAATAAGTATTTAGGGGAAGGGTATCTTAGTCATGGTCTATTAGTAGTAACTAGGGGAATAAGCTAGAGGTTCGTTAGAAAGGATTTACTATAAGTAGGTCTCATTAGGAGGAAAGAGGATATGTTGATTATTGTGTGGTTTGTTATTGGGAGAGAGTAAGTTTCTCAAAAGCTCACATTCGGAGAGAATCCACCTCACGAAAGTGGAATTTTCATTTGATTTATTGTAATTCTCATCTTATCAATATAATCATCATTTTCTTCTTATTTGCTGCCATTGTTAGTGCTCCCTAGCAATATCTCAATAATCCCATGCATCCTCCAACATACAACACACTTGAAAAACTGTATTGATAAGACACAAGTCCCACACTATCTAGTTCACATACAATAACATTCCCCTTGAAACGTGTCAAGGGCATCGAAACCCATGCCAAGTTGTAGCTTCATTGGCTAACAGAGCATTATAAGCCCATGTGTTCCTACTTCAGTCCACACCAAAGGTATTCTATGGACTCAGTTTGGATTCCCTATCACCGCACTACACCAAATGATGCCCCACCATGGTACTGCTGTCTATAGGAAGCCAAACTCACCCCTCATCAATGAGTATTTTCTTTTTACGTTCAGAAAGGTTCACTAGAGGATATTGCAGTTTCAGACAATGGTAGATGCCACAGTATGACAGTAGTCCACGACTTACTGCATGAATCTTAAAAGCAATGCACCCCAAATCATAATTCTGCCTCTTTAGTCTCCAACAAAATTCTCAGCACCCTAAATCCAAGAGGCTTTTCATGTACCAGCAACCCACATATTTAGGTTTTCTTCCTATCTTAAGAGGATAGTTACAAACAAGTAACAACCACAAGTCTAAAACAGATTTATTCTTGTGCTTTACTATCACAGCATATTACATAATAAGGTCCTAAATTGATCGTGTCAAAAAAGATATTTCAGGCAATTTTGTTTCCAACCTCCCCACAGGAAAGGGGGTGCTTCCTTCGGTAGAATAAAAAATTGTCACCTTAATTTTGTGCTTTCAAGACAAACATCGAAAACGGTAGATACTTAATTCGCCTTGTTTTAAACTATGAAGGCATTCACTAATTTTAATACACTGCACTGTTGAATCACACAACATGATATATTGACAGTCTTTGTATCATATTTGAGGCTATAATTTTCCTTTCAGTTCTCAACTGTGAAACAAAAAAGGGTGTAGCAGACTAACAGTACATGATAATTTCACACATACAATTTGTTATTTTGCTCAAATTTGAAATATATCATAGTCTTGGGCCTCTGGCAGAAAGGAGTATGTAGTATATTATGAAGTGTCCTATAAGCACTGCTCTATATTTTAAGGGAAAATCCAATTAATGATTCCTTGGTTTCTCTTTAGATAAATATAAATATATGATACTCAAAATGAAACTTAAGTGATGCTTGTGGATCAAGAGACTTGCCATAAGTTTTGAGTAACCAACTCTCCACCAGACAGGTTCAGCAAAGTGAGAAGCTCCACTAAGATCCAGTATTTCTGGAATCAGAGCACCAAGAGCCCCAAGCATAGCCCAGCGAGCATGGAGTATCTCAAAGCTGCACATGACAACAACATACATGATTAGAGATGGTTAGGCTAAGTTGGTCAAGTGCATACAATGACTATTGGAGGTGGCTTAAATGATTAGAGATTATCAGAGAAAGATTATGTTGTTTGTCTCCCTATCTTAGAGAGGATGTGGTCGTAACCTTGGCACAAAGGTAATGACTGTACAAGTCTATGATGTTACATATAATATTTGTTACCATTATGACTTTGTATCGATAACACCAAAACTAAGTCTGATAGGGTAGAAACACAAGCATATACATAGATGCACAAAGTATCTAAAATAGCGCATATACAACTTAAGATTCTACGCTTTAATTATTACTCTACCAATACCTAACAACAAAAACAGACATATGGATCACTTGTATGAAAGATAGGCAAACATTGCATACCAATATTACCAACTAGCACATATAGTAAGATAAAACAAACAGGTAATTTCAATAATAATAATAATAAAAAAAAAAGCAAAGAACAATACTTGTAATATCTTAACAAAGCATCAGGATCCTTCCCAAGACCAGCAAGATCAAAACCATAATCTCCAGGAAGTTGTCCAGTTAGATACGACGGATATTCAAAAGGTATTGGACCAAGCCATCGCGGTCGTTCTCCTCCATACCAACGACTGCATATATTACAAAACCTTAGTTCAACCATCAAAAAGGAAATTAATTTCACAAATCAAGCATTAAGTTTAATGCTATTTGTATCAAACTAGTACTACATTAGATTATACAAGCATAAACCCTAATAAATAAGTAGAGTAACAAATTGAATGATATCTAAACCCTAAATTGCACAATCAATCAACAAAATTCGAGCAAAATCAATCAACAAAATTGGCGCAAAATCAATCAACAAAATTGGCGCCAAATATAAGAAAGAGAAGCATAAAACCTGCGATTGCGCGCCAATTGAGCAAGCCTATTGCGCTGAATAGATTCTTCGGCAGCAGATAATTTCTGCTGTAAAAGACGTTTCTGGAGAGTAACAGCAAAAGGACTGTTGGCAAAGGCTTTGACTGCCGTAAAAGGAATTGCTGAGAAAACCAATACACCTGCAACCTGCAAAATTAATCAAATATACAATTAATAGTGAAAATGTTGAATGATTTTGAATTTTGAAAAGGTGTTTAACGGCTAACCTCTTGCCATGAAGCTTTAGGTTGACGACGCCATGAAATACTGGGTTGAAGCTTTAGATGATGATTTACAATTCCAGAAAATTCAATCAAAGGTTTAGGAGGAGTAGTGCGAGTATATGGTTGGATTACTAGAGCCATAACTATGAATATATGGAGTCTTGTCAGTTGTCACACACACTAATAATCTTAACATTTATTATTACCAGTGTCAATAGTTCCTCACTCCATATTTGTGTTGCCCCATTATCAAAATGAGGGTCAGACTTTGATAAATTTGATTGTAAATTCTTGCTATATAAAAGAAAATATGGTGACGTGGGTTCTTGTTTGGTTCATCTCATTATAATCTTTTTCTACCCTTTATAATTTTTACGCATAGGAAACTTGACACATAAATGTTTTAACACATGTCTTGGATACCGCGTAAAGTCAAATGAGGCAAAAATATAGAGACATAGAGAGTACACAATGTTACATGCCTTTATCAATTAGGGGGGTTCATGGGTGGAAGAATCAAGATTCATGGACCTTGTGAGAGGTGACGTAAATAGATGGAGAATTTGCGATTATAGTTTGTATTAGTTAATGCCTTAATGGGCTATCTTAATGGGGGTCTTTTATTTTTCTACATGGAAAATGGAGATCTACTATAGTATTGTGTTGAAATGGAAAATAGATAAGGATTTGAAAAGGAGCGGAAGTAGTTTCAAGCCTGCTATCAGTTGAGCAACTCTAAGGGTCTGTTCTCTTACATTGAAATTCAGTTCAGTTCAGCTCAGTTCAGTTCAGTTCAGTCAGCTCCTAATTTCCTTCTCTTAAAAAATATTCATTTCATTTCAGTTCAGTTCAATTCAATTCAGTTCAGTTCAACTCAGTTCTGTTCAGTTCAGCTTAATTCAGCTCAGTTCAGTTCAGCTGAGTTCATTAAATGAGAACATGCCCTAATTGACTTATTAAGAAAATGCAAATTTAGTTTGATCACTTAGACTGTGTGGGAGACAACTTTCCTAGGCCCACGCAACAAAATGGATTTGGTGTAGTTCGGTTGTTCAAACAAAAACAAATCAGAACTTATTGCACTACATTTGTTGGTAGAATTTCTAAAAAAAAAACTCAAGCAAGCAATCATTTCAAGCAATTACTTTATATTTTAATTGATGATTGACACAATTAAGGGAAAAAAAAAACTACAAGTAGAAATTTATGAAAGCAAGGTTTTTGAGAAATCATTGGAAAACCCGAGTAGCTTTGTTAAGTTGTTTGGTTGGCAACAATATTGATAAGAAGTAATCTCCCTTAGTCGATTCCCAATAATATGGCTAAGTTGTACTGTTTTTTGGCGACATTTGAATATGAGATTTGCATGATTATTGTAATTGCGGGTGCTTGGTAATTTATTTTCCTTGTGATAAGTTTAAACTCTTGTGAATTTTTACTTCATTTTTTGTCAACTAAACAAATAACCAGCGTATTGATTTCACTTTTCACATTTTTTTAATCCAAACAAGCACTTAAATAAGTTCAATACAATAAAGGAAAAGGTGATCAGGTGATGAGGAGTAATTTTAGGGATGATTAAAATAAAGGCAAAAAAAAAAAAAAAAAAAAAAAGGGTGCTCCAAATGAAGTCTAGTTGCTGCTTAGCACTCTTCATCGTTCATTGCTAAAAAAAACCTCAAGTTTTGAAATTAGATGTCTTGCTACTAAACTATGTATGTCATTATATCATATTTCATATTCACTTTTGCAAACAAATGAATGAAAAATTGAAAAATAAAATTTAACTAAGGGAAGCTTGGGTCTTGAATTATACATACTCCATATAATTTTTAATCTTATATAATAACTCAAGACCTGACAATACTCAACTAACATTACCCGATCAAAAAAAAAAAAAAAAAAAAAAACAAATACCCAATCATGGGTTAGATGATACATACTTAGTTTTTGACTTAGGTTAGGTTGAAAATTAAGAGGCTAACTAAGATTAAGTTTTATCTGTATCTGTACTCAATAAGAATAAAAATAATAATAAAAATTACCCAATCATTGGGTTAGATGATACATACATATATATTTTTTATTTAGGTTAGGTTCAAAGTTAAGAGGTCGACTGTGGATAAGTTTTAACCGTATGTATAACTGCAATCAACATTTTTTAGAAAAAATTAAAAGATGTTGACTATATTTAAAATTTAACCCAAAAATATGTTTGAATTTTGTGGTTGGATTTAAACTTAATCAAGGTATAAGTGTAATTGTGAAACTAAAGTCAATAACTAATGAACATCTTTGGATGAGTAGATAATACTTCATTACCTAATCTATTTATAAAGTTATAAGGCCTTGTTTTTCTTCACCTTATACCTAAGGTGAATGACTTACAATCTTGCATTCCAAGGTTGTTTTGCAAACAGGTAACAACAGTATAGATTTCGCGGCTTTTCAAACCCAATCAGTATCCTTGTGATTTTCTCGATAAAAAAGAAAGATAAAGTACAAAGCCTTGGTACAAACTGTATTTGATGCACATTACAACATTATTTGAATTTTAAACAACAAACAATAGAGATGGTTTATGTCGTATGATGTAGACATGTGTTATACAAAGAGGAAAGATACAAGATTTCACCCTTAAAAATGGAAGTGCTCTAGGAAAATTGTTGTTCCCTTCTCCAGATTCTCCAAAGATTGAGAGCATACTGAAATAGTGTAGGACTTGAGTCATCGAGGGAAACTGCTAGCAGGAAAGTTGCGAAGCGGATTTTCCTTGAGTAATTCAGTTTCTCTGCAAGACAGCATTTCTGTTATGATCAATTTGGAATGCCAAATCAAACATACTTCAATAGCAGTTTAAGAAAACATACCTTTTGAGGTTAACTTCATCTCTGTCCTTCAATTGGGAATTTGTAATGTTTTGAGAATCATTAGTTTGTTGCAATCTGCACGAGATAGAAGATGCTAAAAATTAAGCTGCCAGGCGGAGTTACAGGTTTCTCATGCAACCACAGCATACTGTAAAATAGAGAACTTCTGGGAGTTTCAAGTTACTGATCATGCAACCAACCTACAGTGTAATATAAATTTTCTAAACAAGATAATGAACTTTATGATTTAAAAATGATACATTCGATCATGTTACAAGCAGCAATATGTTTATGTCTGAGGTATTAATGGTGATAACACAACAGCTCCTATAGAGAAATTATTCGGTAAAATTTACATGAGCTCCATTTACTTTACTAACAAACTTATTTATTCATAATACTTACTCAGAACATTCCTCATCAACAAACACCTCAATGGCAGGAGTGGCAACTCTTCCAAGTCTACTGCCGGGCCCCTGCATAACCTGTGAATGGTAGATTGTTAGATATTGCTACTGCATCTATCCAGGTTTTATGAAATTGAGATATTAACTGTAAGTCCAATAATTTTACCTTATATGATGTCCACTTTGCAGGGATTGCTTTGTTTTCTTTGTTTCTATCTTTATGAGTGGCAAGACTATCCCACTGTTTCGTACCAACTTTTGATATATCTACCCGATGACTGGAGCTATTCTCAACGTTTGTATCCTTATAGACAGCAAAAGATAATCCATCACCCCTAAAATCATAAGAATACAAGTTAGTTCAACCAGTAAATTTACCACACTTAAGTTATATCAGCAGACCATACTGACTCGCCATATATCAATTAACTTTGCTTACTTATTTCCCTTGGCACTTTTCCGGGCATTCTCTGCAGCTCCTGCTTGGTATCTTCCTGAATTACAAAGGACATCTTTTAGCAAAGAAAGGAAGGGAGGGCAAAAATAAATGATGGCACTTCTATTATGATCAGCTGAAAAGCTTACTATTTTCTCCATTGGACAGCACAGTCCCAAAGCTTCGATTTGATAGACCATCCTCTGTTACATGTTCCTGAAAGAGTGGAGGATAGGACTAATTTACATAAACATTACGTAAAAATGACAAGCTATCATAATCTGACAGTGTAAAAATCCATACATCGGTGGAAGCTTTAGATCTCCCCATTGAGCGAGCAAGAAATTTTCTGTAAGCTGCTTCCAACTTTTCATGTGGCTGAGCATTTCTATGCATAGGGAACAAAATTGAATCAGAATGTCTCTTATAGTCTTATCCATTAATCATTCATCTACAGGGAACATGCATGCAGAAGCTTCAGATATACTAATGGTTAAAATCCAAATGGGTTTATATAGTGAAGCAAAAGGCAATCCTGTTGCACGTGCTCGAGTTTGCAAAACAACTCTAACCGAACTTCTTATGTTAGTAGCCATATGGTTAGTTAAACATGTAATCTTTCTCTTAAATTTCTCAAGCAATACTCAAGGTAATAAATTACACCTGATACAAATCTCATAACAAACACAAATCTGAGTCAAATGAGCAGCCTCAAACTTTGTCATTAGCTGAATGATATCTTCAGATGTGGGAAATTCTCCACAGTTGTAATAGTTGTTCATTGAAGTATAGGTGCTGGGACACTGGGTGATCCGATGTAGTATATCTCTTGCATAAACGGTCTATATAATCATGCTTATAACCCCCACCCGATGACCCCCAAACATTAGCTGAATGATACCTTCAGATGTGGGAAATTCTCCGCGGCTGTAACAGTTGTTCATTGAAGTATAGGTGTTGGAACACTAGGTGATCCGATGTAGTATATTCCTTGCATACATGGTCTATATTATCATGTTTATAACCCCACCTGATCTCCCCCAAACAACCACCACCCTCTTTATCTTATTTCTGCCTAGTGTCATGATATCAGTCACAGCAAAAGAATCAAGAACTAAATGTGTTTGAACTCTAGGATGTAATATATGACTACATGTTCCAAGCATGATATCCAACACCATAATATAAGCCAAATACCACAACTCCTTTTAAGACTAACACACTATTTAGCACCTAACAACCTCACATAAAAGTCAATTGTATCAAGGAAAACAATTGAAGGGTTATTTATATCATCATATCTGACCACTTTGTTTAAAGTTGTGCAGCCCAAGTTCAACAGCAAAACAATAAAATTTTCCTCTTATCACAAACAATATGAGGCAGCATCCAAAATGCATTTGAAGTATGATTAATCAACTGCAGTCAAAACAATCCGCCATCCCATAAGAAATAAGCACAAGAAATCAAGTTCTTAATGGAAGTTAGCTCGAAAATCTACGTGTTCCGTTGATGATCCTCTTGTACAAGAATAACAATGAAGCTAGTAGTGGAATACCAACTAAGCTAGTATGCAAAAATGAGTATAATGTATAAAGCTTGAGGCATAAGAGGGCTCACATCGAAACGCCTTGATTGAAGACTTCATTAGCAGTTTTGATCTTATGTTTGGATTCCATATACAAAGCATAAGATATATAGTATACAGAATGAGATTGACCAATGTTATTAGCATCCAAAAATCTGTAAATCACTTCAGCATCCTCACAATTTTCAGCCTGAAAAATCCAATCACAACAAAAGTATTTAGTACTACAATCAAATTCAGACAACTCTTAGCAACTATAACTCGGTCGAATTGATTAAAAGTACATACATATTCAAGCCAGACACTAAGATAACGAAGATCATCACGATAGCGATCATCATGCCAAAATGTTCGAACACACTGCTCGTATATAACAAGTAAACCAGAAGAGTATCCGGCAGCCGGAAACGCTTCTTGGACCCACTTAATACACCTGAATCATACATTATTGTATATCAATTATCCAATTTCACAATTAGACGACAAAGCTAGGGTTTTGAAATAGAAGGAGTACTCACTGAAGCCAAGGTTGAAGTGGGTCATCACCTTCATACTCATCAATGGCAGCAATCAATTTCCTAAATTAGAAACTATTATAAGTAAAATTGTAGAATCAAGTATGAAAAATCAAATGATAATGAAAATACCTTCGATTAAGTAGAAGAGAATGTTTGAGGGGAATATTAGAGTGAGATTTTAGGGATTCATTCAAGATTTTGATATTACGACCTCGTTTTAAAGGGCGAACATTTTCCTTATAATTATCCCATTCAAATTCATCATCATCTTGTTCATCTTCTTCAGATTGATGGGGTCGTTTCGATTTCAAGCGCATTTCCATCAGAAATTGGGATTCTGGGTCCATAATTTCATGGTGATCTTGGGTCGCCATTAGAATTTTACAGAGAAAGGAGAGAGAGTGTGATGGAGAGTATGAAAGAGGTGAGCAAGAAAGAAAAGCAATCACACCGAAACCTAGTAAACAGAGGAAGATGAGGAGAGAGAAAATAAAAGAAGCGGACTTTTTGCAATTCAAATTCTCTAATCCAATTGATCCGTTGGGACTTGGAAGGCATCGTTGTTTATATGGGCCTTTCACCTTTGGACCTCCTCCTCCTTTTTTTTTTTTTTTTTTTTTATTATATATATATATACTACATCCGTTACATATTATTTGCAACGATTATACATTTTTAAGTCGAAAATGACCCGATCTGAACTTAGTATCTCTAATCTCTATCCTATTTATGAGGTTTATTGCTTATTTTATCAGTTTTGCTTATTGTGCGAAAAATAAAAAATAAAAAAAATTTATACAAGTATGCGTTTGAAAAAGAATTGATCTTTACTCTAAAAAGACATGAATACGGTATATCTCTCTCTAAAAACTCATAATCTCCCCACTTTTCTGAGCTTTTTTTTTTTATATATATATATATACTACATCCGTTATATATTATTTGCAACGATTATACATTTTTAAGTCGAAAATGACCCGATCTGAACTTAGTATCTCTAATCTCTATCTTATTTATGAGGTTTATTGCTTATTTTATCAGTTTTGCTTATTGTGCGAAAAATAAAAAATAAAAAAAAATTATACAAGTATGCGTTTGAAAAAGAATTGATCTTTACTCTAAAAAGACATGAATACGGTATATCTCTCTCTAAAAACTCATAATCTCCCCACTTGTCTGAGCTTCAGTGTCTTTTCTTAATCTCTCCGTCGCAACCTCTTCTCCATCTTTTAAGACATTCCCTTTGGTTTCTCATCCCTGCCGCCAACCATCGCCTCCTTAGGTGTTTAGTTGGCTATTTTGGTATAGCTTCTCTAAGAAGTTTTTTTTATAAAAAAAAAAGTAAGGAAAAAGTATTCATTAGGAAATCCTATTCACAAGGGGAAAAAAAGTTGTGTTTTTAGCTCAAACGTTTTTACTATTATCTCTGGTTCAAATTACTCGCAACTTTGAGGTAATATTTGTGAGATATAAAATATTCCAAAGTTGCGAGTAATTTGGACCAGAGGTAATATTACTCTGGAGTCTATTTATTTATTTATTTATTTATTTTTATTTCAGTTTTTTTTTCTCCTTTTCTTTCATCTATCTATAGAGAATCAATAATAATAGTTCATTAAAATTACTTTTAGTTAAGTAATTTTTTAATTCAGCAAAACAATTCCATTTTGTACAAATTTTTCAATTCAAAAAATAAGGTGAAGAGAAAAATGTCCTAGTCTTTCCTTGAGATTAGGAATATTTAAAATTCCATGTAGTTGTGGTAATAGTCTTTCATGACATAGAATGATTAACGGATTAGTAACATCCATGTACCTTTTTAACAAAAATTGGGAAAAAAGTTGAGCTTTGTAGTTTTGTATCTTGAGTCAAATCTAATTGAAAAATACTCCCTCCATTTCATAATGTTAGTCTCATATACTATTTTGGGCGTTTTAAAATTATCTACCCATATTGAATCTTTTCCTTTTGTAATTTTATTTTATTGTCCTAATTTGGTCTTATAATTTCTAATCCCATTAGTGGATTGATGACATGGCAGCAATTAAATATTCTGATTGGTCATCAATTCCATTAAACAAGCTTTGTAATTGATGCTTTCCAAATAAAAAAAATCACAACATTTAATAAGATAGAACTAATTAAGCAATTTTTGTACTAAAATGTAAGATTCCAAATATTATTCATTCTTTTTTTTTGTGATTGATTCTATAAGGGACTAACAAAGTGAAACGGAGGGAGTAATACTTTCAGAAAACATATTTTAAGTAGATGAAAACATACTTTGAAAAATAATACTTTCATGCCCCGGATTGATACTTTTAATAATTATTGTATTATAGTTTTCATGTGTTACATTTTATGTAGATGAATTTTATTTTTGTTGCATAAAATAATCTTAAATACATCTTTTTAATTTAGATTGAATCTAAGAAAATATTTTGTGTTCTAATTAATATATACTAGTACGGAGTACTTCGTAATACTTAACAAATATAAACTGTAAAATTACAAATAAATACATTCTTATGGTCTACGTCAACTATATTTAGGAAGAATAAATAAACAACATTACTAGATAGCAAAGATGGTATGATTTTTTTATTTATTTTCCAATTGACCTCAGGTCAATTCTTGTTATAAATATTTTTTAATTGACGTGTACCAATTATATTTCTAGCTGGGTGACGTGGCATATTGTTGGTTTTTAATTGGATGATGTGGCATCTTATTGGTGGAATGGAGGGTGACATGTGTCGTGTATCCTTGATTATTAGGAACGTCTTTTAATATATAGTATAGATATATTTGCATTCCAAAACTCAGGGCATGTTCTCATAGACTGAACTCAGCTGAACTAAACTGAACTGAACCGAATTGAGATAAACTGAACTGAAATGAATATTTTATAAGAGAAGGAAATTAGGAGCTGAACTGAATTGAATTGAACTGAACTCAACTGAGCTGAGCTGAGCTGAACTGAAAATAAACGTATGAGAACAGACCCTCAATCTTATCATAGCCTAACAACTCAAAGACTATATATAGATCAAGATTTACATTTGAACAATATTGGTCTAAAATATTAAGTAATAATTGACTCAAACTTACATACACTATATTGAAAATTAACCTGAATTCAAACATCATGTGAACATGGACCATCTAAAGTTGATCATCAAACTTAAACTAAATTGAATCTCCTTGTTCATCCATATTCTTACTGTAACACCCCAAATCTCCCTCTACGGAAATACTAGTATAATACGTATAATTATACCGTAGGGATAAACTTGGGCGTATTACCGCCGCGTGATTACGCAAGGCTACTCAAAATACTTAACTCAACAACAAAACTTGCAGCGGAAACTCAACTTTCTTTTATTAATACTTATAAAAATAGTAACATTGTTATGAGTGCTCAAAAATAAAGACAAGACCAACATTCCTAAACTAGGTGAAGCAAATCCCGGGACTCCCATATGCTCATTCATGAATCCACCTGAAAGTAGTCAACACTGCTTACCATTACGGTAAACAGGGCAAACCAAAACAAATAAGAAATACGGATTAGCAAATTATGCTAAGTACGATAAGTGCAAGATAGTGTAAACTCAATTTATTTGCAAACATGCTTTTAAAACCAATTTCAATAATTAATCCAATAAATTCAAAACTCATTATTCCAAAACCGATTCCAATCATTCAATATTCAAAATAATAGTTAATAAAACTAATTTATTAAGAACCAATTCCTTTTAATCCAATTCCTCACCCAAGTGTGCACACCCCCCAAGCTAGTCTCCTTATATTACAAGGCTATTCTTGAGGAAAGACCCGGTCATACAAAGTCCAAGGCCTTATCAATAAACCAAATCCGCATAGTGGGATTACTAACATGCTTATAAAGCATTAATAATAATAATAATAATCCAATGGTTCAATAAATCCTTTTAATATCCAATAGTTCCCAATATTATTTAAACACGATAAGTAATCCAAACCATTCAATACATGATTCAAAAATCAATCATTCAAATTGTTTAGGGTAATTTTACCCCGCCACGTGGTCCAATCAGAGGGTGACACGTGTCAGCCTCAGGGTGGCCCAAAGTGGACCAATCCCTGCTTGACACGTGTCATCCTAGAAATTAAGGGAAAAATGGCGGCCTTCAGGCCCAAATCTCGAGAAAGCCGTAATGAGGCGCATCCCACCAATGATTAGGGATCAATGACCTAATCAGGGGCACAAATCCCGAGTAACCTTATAAATAGGGAGATTTCCCTGTTTTGGAGGGCACGTTTTACCATTTTTATTACACACTGTCCCTGTGATAGAGACACTTGAGCTTGGAATCCGAGCAGATCCCCACCTAAATTTCCGTACTCTTTATTCCCTTTCAAGTTACTAACTTGATCGTCGGAGGCGGAGCACCAACCAACCGGTGTCTCCGTTTGTTTTGCAGGTACAACTCAAGTCGGATCAGTCTTCGTGTTGTAACTCTCCCGAGGGACAAAAACACCCAAAACATTTGGCGCCGTCTGTGGGGAGAGTACCTCGAAGATGGTTCTAGAGTCTGTACTACCCCCTAACCGTCCGGGCGATGACCCAGAAGTCTTTACAGACCATGAAGATGAGGATCTTCAGGTTGAAACCTTTACAACCAATGATGGCTCTCTCATAACCAAGCGCATCCGGCCCAGAGACACTCTGGAGCGGGGTGCCTCCCAGGCGGGTACAAGCCGACCCTCTGGGCAGCCGGAAGGGGAAACCCAAACGGCTGCTGGATCAGCCCCTGTCACCCGAGACGAACTCATGAGATTCATGACAAGTTTCAAGGGTGAAATTAAAGAGCTGATCACCCAAAGCCGGGCTGGCCCAAGTAAAGGTCAGTCGACAAAGAAGACTCCTCCGGAGAAGGGGAAGACAGTCAGAGAACGGCAACCCACTTCTCATCCAAAGGAGAAGGCAGCCGGGACCATTGATTGGTCAAAAATTCTTCTTCCTAAGAGGAACAACAACACCCGCCGGACTCAGCAGCCGGTGGGAAGTAAAAAATCAATTCCTGATGCCCGGGAAATAATCATCCGGAAGATGAATCAGCAGCTGTCTGACTCGGCTTCAACGTCGAACTTTCCAGACAGCTTCAACAACACTTCTGCAGGGAATACTCTCTCTCTGCATGGGAGCCAGACAGGCGGTAATACCGTCCATTTTGGCCCTCAGATGATTAGAGCCGTACCATATGTGCCTACTCAGGCTTACGGACAGTATCCCCCTCACTTCATGCAGCCGGCTCTCTTTGGAGGTCAGGCGACATATCAAAATGTCCAGCCATTGGACTGGCAGCTCCGTCTGCTGCGCCTGGGTGAACAACCTTCTGCGTTCACCCGGGAGATAACCGAGGCGGCCCAGCCGGCAAAGGTTAAGAATGTGTTGGTTGGTACTTATGATGGTACCACAAATCCGGAAGACCACCTCATGGCTTACACCAACCTCATGTATCTGCAGGGGTTGGATGATGCCACTTGGTGTCGGTGTTTCCCGGCTACATTGAAGGGCATTGCCCAACAATGGTTTGGCAACTTGCCAGCCGGG